GCCGGACAACCTACATATTTGGCGTGAGGCAAGCGCGTGGTCAACGGTTCGGGTGATGAAACGTGTACTCGAGGAACTGTCACATGTAATGGCTGCTTTCCCGGCCTTCCAAGCAATCTTGCTTCTGGATTGTCATGCTTCCCACATTCACCCCGACACGGTGCGCGCCGCGAACAACAGCAACATCTGGATGGCTGTCATTCCAGCAGGCCTAACTGGGCTGATTCAGCCTTTGGACACACTGGCCTTTTCGGCTTTCAAGTTCCATCTCAAACAGCAATTTCAGATGGGTCTGGGAGAGAGCGAGACACTGCCAGAGGATTTTTTACGCCGAGTCTTTGCTTTGAGCCAGACCTTTTTCAATGGAAGGAAATGGAAGGCAGGTTTTGCGTCTTTGGGGTTGGAGCCGGAGGCCCCTGTTCGCTTATCGCGTGATCTTCGACCATATCAAGAAGCCCTCGCGCTGGTACCTTCAAGTGCGCCCACTGGCGACCAGCTTGCTTCAATTTTTCCTCGTAATTACGTCTTGACAGATGATCTTTTCGACGCATGGACTCGTCTTGCGCGTGGTCGGCACCTGCGTTTGCGCTTGGTTTGAGGCGCGCCGGTAAAGGCTGAACAGTTGTGCAGGGCTCTGCGGGACAAGTCATCCATCATATGCACCTGTTCGTGTTGGAATGACGGGGCCGTGCTGCAATGCTATTTTGGCTTCTGCAGTTTTTTCCTCTGCTGTCTGTAGCTCGCTGGCCAGTTCTCGTGGACCCTGCCTCATGGGAGAGGCGGCCGAAGACATGGAAGAGTTGGGCGGCCGTGCCGAAGGCAGGGCTGATGGCGGCGGCAACCGTGGCGGCGAGGCACCAGCTGTGCAGGACTGGTTGGGCATGCCAAGGTTTTTGCTGTTTTTGTGAGTATCTCACACAGTAGGTTTGGTAATTGGTTCTGAGCCAGGCATTACGCAGAGTACAGAAATGCATGGCGTCGGTGAGAAAAGCTTTGAGTCGATCCAAAGCACGTGCGGCGACGCTGCATTTGACCGTGCGGGAAGCGAGCATCGTGTTGGCGATATATTTGTTGTCGCGGTACAATCTCAATGCTGTGGCATTGTATGTGGCTTCAAGAAATGCGGTCCGGCAGCAACCGAGCCACAGTGCAGCAGAGGTGCGTGAGTTGACAGAAAGCCTGTACTTAGAAACTTCCATCGACGAACTGATTGCTTTGGAGTGTGGGGAACCTGGAAGACACGCGCGTGTCCGACACGCAGCAGTGTCGTTTTTGGCGGAACTGCGAACAGTTGAATGGTTGGAGTCTCAAAACATGCTCGGCGCCGCCCCTAGCTCGGCTGCCATGGCCAGCAAGTATCTGATGTTTTGCGAAGCTTTTCATGACTCCCGGTGGGACGGTGCGCTGGCGAGGGCGGTCCACAACAATTCGCTGAATCACAGCGCTGGGCGGTACTTGCGCAAGTGGTCTGCAGACTTCCGCGAACGCTGGAATGTTGCTTTTCGAGTGCTTTCGGTGAAGCCTCCTGCACCTTGCGCAGAGCTTGCGGCGAAGGTCTGGCGAAGAAAACAGTGAAGCCCGAATCGGCTTCAGAAAGTCCCCGGTAGTATATGGGCGCGTGAGTAATGAAGCCAAATTGTGGCCTCAAATTCTGACACCATAGTGGCCTCAAACATGTGCATCCTTTAGGTTGCTCTGGGTCCTCTGACTCTTTGTGTTCAGGTAAAAACTCTGTGGCAGTGGGTGTTCTGGCTACGCCACTGCTGTATCGGCGTTGGCAAGATTCCAATCTTGCTGAACTTGGATGAAAGCTACATCCCCTGGAGCCCTGGCTCACTTGCTGGCAATGTTCTTCGCAAGACCAGAGTGACGGGCGCGAAGCGTCGCAGGGGAGGCTTTACTATACGCCCATCATCTGCACGAATGAAGCTTTGCAGCCCTTGCTGCCCCGTTTCCTTGTGGCCAAGCGTTCTGTTCTCAGCGCTCGAGCAGTGCGGACTGTTTCTGCTCAGAAGCCGGACAACCTACATATTTGGCGTGAGGCAAGCGCGTGGTCAACGGTTCGGGTGATGAAACGTGTACTCGAGGAACTGTCACATGTAATGGCTGCTTTCCCGGCCTTCCAAGCAATCTTGCTTCTGGATTGTCATGCTTCCCACATTCACCCCGACACGGTGCGCGCCGCGAACAACAGCAACATCTGGATGGCTGTCATTCCAGCAGGCCTAACTGGGCTGATTCAGCCTTTGGACACACTGGCCTTTTCGGCTTTCAAGTTCCATCTCAAACAGCAATTTCAGATGGGTCTGGGAGAGAGCGAGACACTGCCAGAGGATTTTTTACGCCGAGTCTTTGCTTTGAGCCAGACCTTTTTCAATGGAAGGAAATGGAAGGCAGGTTTTGCGTCTTTGGGGTTGGAGCCGGAGGCCCCTGTTCGCTTATCGCGTGATCTTCGACCATATCAAGAAGCCCTCGCGCTGGTACCTTCAAGTGCGCCCACTGGCGACCAGCTTGCTTCAATTTTTCCTCGTAATTACGTCTTGACAGATGATCTTTTCGACGCATGGACTCGTCTTGCGCGTGGTCGGCACCTGCGTTTGCGCTTGGTTTGAGGCGCGCCGGTAAAGGCTGAACAGTTGTGCAGGGCTCTGCGGGACAAGTCATCCATCATATGCACCTGTTCGTGTTGGAATGACGGGGCCGTGCTGCAATGCTATTTTGGCTTCTGCAGTTTTTTCCTCTGCTGTCTGTAGCTCGCTGGCCAGTTCTCGTGGACCCTGCCTCATGGGAGAGGCGGCCGAAGACATGGAAGAGTTGGGCGGCCGTGCCGAAGGCAGGGCTGATGGCGGCGGCAACCGTGGCGGCGAGGCACCAGCTGTGCAGGACTGGTTGGGCATGCCAAGGTTTTTGCTGTTTTTGTGAGTATCTCACACAGTAGGTTTGGTAATTGGTTCTGAGCCAGGCATTACGCAGAGTACAGAAATGCATGGCGTCGGTGAGAAAAGCTTTGAGTCGATCCAAAGCACGTGCGGCGACGCTGCATTTGACCGTGCGGGAAGCGAGCATCGTGTTGGCGATATATTTGTTGTCGCGGTACAATCTCAATGCTGTGGCATTGTATGTGGCTTCAAGAAATGCGGTCCGGCAGCAACCGAGCCACAGTGCAGCAGAGGTGCGTGAGTTGACAGAAAGCCTGTACTTAGAAACTTCCATCGACGAACTGATTGCTTTGGAGTGTGGGGAACCTGGAAGACACGCGCGTGTCCGACACGCAGCAGTGTCGTTTTTGGCGGAACTGCGAACAGTTGAATGGTTGGAGTCTCAAAACATGCTCGGCGCCGCCCCTAGCTCGGCTGCCATGGCCAGCAAGTATCTGATGTTTTGCGAAGCTTTTCATGACTCCCGGTGGGACGGTGCGCTGGCGAGGGCGGTCCACAACAATTCGCTGAATCACAGCGCTGGGCGGTACTTGCGCAAGTGGTCTGCAGACTTCCGCGAACGCTGGAATGTTGCTTTTCGAGTGCTTTCGGTGAAGCCTCCTGCACCTTGCGCAGAGCTTGCGGCGAAGGTCTGGCGAAGAAAACAGTGAAGCCCGAATCGGCTTCAGAAAGTCCCCGGTAGTATATGGGCGCGTGAGTAATGAAGCCAAATTGTGGCCTCAAATTCTGACACCATAGTGGCCTCAAACATGTGCATCCTTTAGGTTGCTCTGGGTCCTCTGACTCTTTGTGTTCAGGTAAAAACTCTGTGGCAGTGGGTGTTCTGGCTACGCCACTGCTGTATCGGCGTTGGCAAGATTCCAATCTTGCTGAACTTGGATGAAAGCTACATCCCCTGGAGCCCTGGCTCACTTGCTGGCAATGTTCTTCGCAAGACCAGAGTGACGGGCGCGAAGCGTCGCAGGGGAGGCTTTACTTATACGCCCATCATCTGCACGAATGAAGCTTTGCAGCCCTTGCTGCCCCGTTTCCTTGTGGCCAAGCGTTCTGTTCTCAGCGCTCGAGCAGTGCGGACTGTTTCTGCTCAGAAGCCGGACAACCTACATATTTGGCGTGAGGCAAGCGCGTGGTCAACGGTTCGGGTGATGAAACGTGTACTCGAGGAACTGTCACATGTAATGGCTGCTTTCCCGGCCTTCCAAGCAATCTTGCTTCTGGATTGTCATGCTTCCCACATTCACCCCGACACGGTGCGCGCCGCGAACAACAGCAACATCTGGATGGCTGTCATTCCAGCAGGCCTAACTGGGCTGATTCAGCCTTTGGACACACTGGCCTTTTCGGCTTTCAAGTTCCATCTCAAACAGCAATTTCAGATGGGTCTGGGAGAGAGCGAGACACTGCCAGAGGATTTTTTACGCCGAGTCTTTGCTTTGAGCCAGACCTTTTTCAATGGAAGGAAATGGAAGGCAGGTTTTGCGTCTTTGGGGTTGGAGCCGGAGGCCCCTGTTCGCTTATCGCGTGATCTTCGACCATATCAAGAAGCCCTCGTGTGGTACCTTCAACTGCGCCCACTGGCGACCAGCTTGCTTCAATTTTTCCTCGTAATTACGTCTTGACAGATGATCTTTTCGACGCATGGACTCGTCTTGCGCGTGGTCGGCACCTGCGTTTGCGCTTGGTTTGAGGCGCGCCGGTAAAGGCTGAACAGTTGTGCAGGGCTCTGCGGGACAAGTCATCCATCATATGCACCTGTTCGTGTTGGAATGACGGGGCCGTGCTGCAATGCTATTTTGGCTTCTGCAGTTTTTTCCTCTGCTGTCTGTAGCTCGCTGGCCAGTTCTCGTGGACCCTGCCTCATGGGAGAGGCGGCCGAAGACATGGAAGAGTTGGGCGGCCGTGCCGAAGGCAGGGCTGATGGCGGCGGCAACCGTGGCGGCGAGGCACCAGCTGTGCAGGACTGGTTGGGCATGCCAAGGTTTTTGCTGTTTTTGTGAGTATCTCACACAGTAGGTTTGGTAATTGGTTCTGAGCCAGGCATTACGCAGAGTACAGAAATGCATGGCGTCGGTGAGAAAAGCTTTGAGTCGATCCAAAGCACGTGCGGCGACGCTGCATTTGACCGTGCGGGAAGCGAGCATCGTGTTGGCGATATATTTGTTGTCGCGGTACAATCTCAATGCTGTGGCATTGTATGTGGCTTCAAGAAATGCGGTCCGGCAGCAACCGAGCCACAGTGCAGCAGAGGTGCGTGAGTTGACAGAAAGCCTGTACTTAGAAACTTCCATCGACGAACTGATTGCTTTGGAGTGTGGGGAACCTGGAAGACACGCGCGTGTCCGACACGCAGCAGTGTCGTTTTTGGCGGAACTGCGAACAGTTGAATGGTTGGAGTCTCAAAACATGCTCGGCGCCGCCCCTAGCTCGGCTGCCATGGCCAGCAAGTATCTGATGTTTTGCGAAGCTTTTCATGACTCCCGGTGGGACGGTGCGCTGGCGAGGGCGGTCCACAACAATTCGCTGAATCACAGCGCTGGGCGGTACTTGCGCAAGTGGTCTGCAGACTTCCGCGAACGCTGGAATGTTGCTTTTCGAGTGCTTTCGGTGAAGCCTCCTGCACCTTGCGCAGAGCTTGCGGCGAAGGTCTGGCGAAGAAAACAGTGAAGCCCGAATCGGCTTCAGAAAGGCCCCGGTAGTATATGGGCGCGTGAGTAATGAAGCCAAATTGTGGCCTCAAATTCTGACACCATAGTGGCCTCAAACATGTGCATCCTTTAGGTTGCTCTGGGTCCTCTGACTCTTTGTGTTCAGGTAAAAACTCTGTGGCAGTGGGTGTTCTGGCTACGCCACTGCTGTATCGGCGTTGGCAAGATTCCAATCTTGCTGAACTTGGATGAAAGCTACATCCCCTGGAGCCCTGGCTCACTTGCTGGCAATGTTCTTCGCAAGACCAGAGTGACGGGCGCGAAGCGTCGCAGGGGAGGCTTTACTTATACGCCCATCATCTGCACGAATGAAGCTTTGCAGCCCTTGCTGCCCCGTTTCCTTGTGGCCAAGCGTTCTGTTCTCAGCGCTCGAGCAGTGCGGACTGTTTCTGCTCAGAAGCCGGACAACCTACATATTTGGCGTGAGGCAAGCGCGTGGTCAACGGTTCGGGTGATGAAACGTGTACTCGAGGAACTGTCACATGTAATGGCTGCTTTCCCGGCCTTCCAAGCAATCTTGCTTCTGGATTGTCATGCTTCCCACATTCACCCCGACACGGTGCGCGCCGCGAACAACAGCAACATCTGGATGGCTGTCATTCAAGCAGGCTAGAATGGGTGATTCCGCCTTGGACACCACTGGCCTTTTCGGCTTTCAAGTTCTCTAAAACAGCAATTGGTCAGATGGGTCTGGAGAGAGCGAGTACACGGCCAGAGGATTTTTTACGCCGAGTATTTGCTTGAGCCAGACCTTTTTCAATGGAAGGAAGGAAGGCAGACGTTTTGCGTCTTTGGGGTTGGAGCGGAGGCCCCTGTTCCTTATCGAGTGATCTCGACCATATAGACGCCCTCGCGCTTGTACCTTCAAGTGCGCCCCTGGCGACCGGCTTGTGCAATGTGTTTCATCGTAAGTTACGTTCTGACAGATGATCTTTCGACGCAGGGACTCGTCTTGAGCGTGGTGGCCCCTGGTTTGCGCTTGGTTTGAGGCGCGCCGTAAAAGGCGGACAGTTCAGCCTTTACCGGCGCGCCTCAAACCAAGCGCAAACGCAGGTGCCGACCACGCGCAAGACGAGTCCATGCGTCGAAAAGATCATCTGTCAAGACGTAATTACGAGGAAAAATTTAAGCAAGCTGGTCGCCAGTGGGCGCACTTGAAGGTACCAGCGCGAGGGCTTCTTGATATGGTCGAAGATCACGCGATAAGCGAACAGGGGCCTCCGGCTCCAACCCCAAAGACGCAAAACCTGCCTTCCATTTCCTTCCATTGAAAAAGGTCTGGCTCAAAGCAAAGACTCGGCGTAAAAAATCCTCTGGCAGTGTCTCGCTCTCTCCCAGACCCATCTGAAATTGCTGTTTGAGATGGAACTTGAAAGCCGAAAAGGCCAGTGTGTCCAAAGGCTGAATCAGCCCAGTTAGGCCTGCTGGAATGACAGCCATCCAGATGTTGCTGTTGTTCGCGGCGCGCACCGTGTCGGGGTGAATGTGGGAAGCATGACAATCCAGAAGCAAGATTGCTTGGAAGGCCGGGAAAGCAGCCATTACATGTGACAGTTCCTCGAGTACACGTTTCATCACCCGAACCGTTGACCACGCGCTTGCCTCACGCCAAATATGTAGGTTGTCCGGCTTCTGAGCAGAAACAGTCCGCACTGCTCGAGCGCTGAGAACAGAACGCTTGGCCACAAGGAAACGGGGCAGCAAGGGCTGCAAAGCTTCATTCGTGCAGATGATGGGCGTATAAGTAAAGCCTCCCCTGCGACGCTTCGCGCCCGTCACTCTGGTCTTGCGAAGAACATTGCCAGCAAGTGAGCCAGGGCTCCAGGGGATGTAGCTTTCATCCAAGTTCAGCAAGATTGGAATCTTGCCAACGCCGATACAGCAGTGGCGTAGCCAGAACACCCACTGCCACAGAGTTTTTACCTGAACACAAAGAGTCAGAGGACCCAGAGCAACCTAAAGGATGCACATGTTTGAGGCCACTATGGTGTCAGAATTTGAGGCCACAATTTGGCTTCATTACTCACGCGCCCATATACTACCGGGGACTTTCTGAAGCCGATTCGGGCTTCACTGTTTTCTTCGCCAGACCTTCGCCGCAAGCTCTGCGCAAGGTGCAGGAGGCTTCACCGAAAGCACTCGAAAAGCAACATTCCAGCGTTCGCGGAAGTCTGCAGACCACTTGCGCAAGTACCGCCCAGCGCTGTGATTCAGCGAATTGTTGTGGACCGCCCTCGCCAGCGCACCGTCCCACCGGGAGTCATGAAAAGCTTCGCAAAACATCAGATACTTGCTGGCCATGGCAGCCGAGCTAGGGGCGGCGCCGAGCATGTTTTGAGACTCCAACCATTCAACTGTTCGCAGTTCCGCCAAAAACGACACTGCTGCGTGTCGGACACGCGCGTGTCTTCCAGGTTCCCCACACTCCAAAGCAATCAGTTCGTCGATGGAAGTTTCTAAGTACAGGCTTTCTGTCAACTCACGCACCTCTGCTGCACTGTGGCTCGGTTGCTGCCGGACCGCATTTCTTGAAGCCACATACAATGCCACAGCATTGAGATTGTACCGCGACAACAAATATATCGCCAACACGATGCTCGCTTCCCGCACGGTCAAATGCAGCGTCGCCGCACGTGCTTTGGATCGACTCAAAGCTTTTCTCACCGACGCCATGCATTTCTGTACTCTGCGTAATGCCTGGCTCAGAACCAATTACCAAACCTACTGTGTGAGATACTCACAAAAACAGCAAAAACCTTGGCATGCCCAACCAGTCCTGCACAGCTGGTGCCTCGCCGCCACGGTTGCCGCCGCCATCAGCCCTGCCTTCGGCACGGCCGCCCAACTCTTCCATGTCTTCGGCCGCCTCTCCCATGAGGCAGGGTGCACGAGAACTGGCCAGCGAGCTACAGACAGCAGAGGAAAAAACTGCAGAAGCCAAAATAGCATTGCAGCACGGCCCCGTCATTCCAACACGAACAGGTGCATATGATGGATGACTTGTCCCGCAGAGCCCTGCACCACTCGCAGGGTACCGAAACTGGTCCTGGACTTTTCCTCTGCATCCGAAGCAGAAAGTAGCCTCACCCAATGTTACAAAATCATACAGATTGGCCCCCCGCCCCCCAATTTCAATGTTCGTTTCTTCCAGCCAGCCAGACCGGCAGTGCCCCCTCACAGCAGCAGCAGACTGTCCACTGCAACATTGAAATTAAGGGGGTGCGGGGAAATCTGGATTCAAGCGTGAATACGAGAGTCTAGCTGGATTTAATGACTTGGTTGGAAACGGAGGCCGAAGCAAAGACACATGGAGCGGGAAAGGCTGCAAGTACGGACGGCAGCTGCTTCCAGAGACAAGAAACTATCCGCAGCACATTTTGACGCTGGTCTTGCACAGCACGGCCGTCGTCACGGGAGCTGGCAACACCTGCTCACAAGTGCGTTGAAGAGCTTCCACTGCCTGCAGGCATTCCTACACTCCTAGACCTTCGTGTTCAGAGCGCTGCCTGGGCAGCTGTTCCACCCTCCACTTGTGTCAAAGCCCGCCTCTACTGCACAGCGCGGCCGTCAGCACGGGAACTGGCCAAACCTCTGGTCAACTGGGTCGTGACAGGGAGTGCAGCGTGCCTGTAGACCTTCACGCATCGTGACCTCCAACAACTTCCCCTCTCCAAGCTCTGCCTTGTAGCCTCAGCCATCCCACCTTCCACCTGCCTGGCCGGCGTTCCAAGCCCAACAGTCAGCACAAGCTGAGGTCAGAAGGACATAGCAGCACTGAAGACACTTCAGAACGGTTGCAAAAGCTCGTAGAAGTCGCATGCTGTGCACAGTGCATACGCATGGAAAGGGAAATTTCACGCAGCGCGGCTCTCGTCCTCCAAGTTTGTGATGTAAGCATGTGTTGTGCCACCTTCCAGCCCCCTGACTCTTGCACGTCTCTGCACAACACCAAGATCTGCTCGCGCAGCTCCTCCTCTGTGCCTCTGCTTGTCGGAAGAGTTTCCTACGGTGCGGCGCGTATCTAACCTCAAAAACTGTCAGCTCTAAGGTTTTTGTCGAAGTTTCTCTGGGGTTGGAGATCCTAAACCCCGCAGAAAGTTCGAAAAAAATGGTGTATGACACGGTCTTACATTTTGAAAGAGACATTTTGCGTCGCTACAATCTGTCCTACGGTTTTTGCACCTCTAGAACAGGCTCGCCGCAATCTTTGCCTCAAAACTTAACACCATTTTGGTCGAACTTTCGGCGGGCTTGAGCATCTCCAGCTAGTCAATGCTCCCTGTGGTCTTCAAACATTTTTCTGCGCCTTCGGTTGGCTTTCAGCCCATCACGTAGCCATCACTTCGCGCTTATCCTCCGGCTCTGCGGAAGGCCCAGACGTCCAGGTTTCTGCTAGACTTGCGGAGTTTCGTGACGCTGCGAATGAAAGGAGCAGGTAATGGTTCGCACGTTTGTAACCCTGCCAGTCAACATCCACAGCATCGGTGGCGTTAACCTGAAGCGGTTTTTCCTGCATTTGCAGATGACATAGACCGGCTTTCTGGGACCCAAAGCAAAGGCAGACCAAAGCGCTCTCCCGAAATCCGCCGCCTGGCACAGCGATTAAGTTTGAAAGGCTCGTGGTGCAGCTGGCGCACAGTTTTGCCGTGGCCGACCGCACGACTCTTTCGTTCCTCGACACCAGGTGATCAGACAGCGCTTTAGCTGCTGACTGCCGACAGGAGGCGGCGCTGCTCGAAAGGCAGCAACTCCCCCCAAGATTGCAAGCGCCTCCAATCTTCTACACTAAGCTCCGTCACATGCACGGCACCCAAAGCGTGGAGCTCGGCATCCATGTGCTGCATCTTCTCCGCGGGCAGGCGGGCTTGCACACATAGAGCTGCAAGTCCAGCCACACCCGCAGCTTCTGATGCTGGTTCCACGGCTCTGGGCGGCCCCACGACACGGACCACCTGCTCTGCATCGTGCTGCGCTGCCGCGTCGCGGATCCACGCACACATGCACTGCTTGCAGGGCTGCGTGTCCTGGAGATGACGGACGGTGGCGGTGGCCGTGAAAACATGGACACGGCTCTGCATGTGGCGCACATCTTCCTGGGAGACGCTACCATATGGCACCCAGAGGCCCTCGGACTTGGCGGTCATAATGCATCCACGATGCCACTCAAAGTCCACATTGCCATCGTTGAAGGCCTGCGAGACTTGCACCTCGAGGGGCTGGCCCTGAAACAAGCTCAAAAACGCAGTGACTGGTAGAGTCTCCTGGGCGTATTCCACAGGTCTGTAGTCATCCCAGAACAAGAACCGCTTCTCTTTCAACAGATTGCGAAGCGCGAACTTGGAGTTCAATGCAGGCTTGTGGAAAACGTGCTTGAACCCGAAAAGATCATCAAAGGGAAGCAAGATGGTTGTCTTCCCAGAATTCGTGGGACCTGCAAGAAGCGGCACCCGTGTTGTCTTCGAAGGGCCTGAGCGAATGATCGCCCGCAGGGCCGTTGCCAGCTCCTGCTGCGACACACACGCTGCATTGGCCGAGAAGAACGCTTGCACGGCTGCGGCATAGGTGCAGCTCCCATCATGTGGGCAGGCTTCCTGCGCTGTACGGCAGACCAGA